ACTGACACACACTGACACACACTGACACACACTGATACACACTGACACACACACACACTGACACACACTCTTCCTCCTCTTCCTCAGGACGATCCACGGTCTGATCTATAACGCTCTGAAGCTTTTATGGAGATGAACCAGAAGCTGTTTGACGACTGCACCCAGCACTACAAGGCCGAGAAGCAGAAGTATGTTCTAGGAACCAGAACCTCTGGACCGGACCAACAGAACTGACCCGTTTCTGCTCCTCATGCAGGGAGAAATACAAGCTGAAGGAGCGGGACGAAGTCTGGATGAAGATCGAGGATCTGGCCCGGCAGAACCCACAGGTAAGGCCTGAGGATGATGATGATGATGAAGGTCTATGGACTTCATGTCTCCTTCTGTTTACCTGCAGAGCAATAAGCTCCACCCCCTGCGGCCTGGACTCCACCCACAGGAAGAGGTGAGTGAGTGTGTCTGTGTGTGTCTGTGTGTCTGTGTGTGTGTGTGTGTGTGTGTGTGTGTCTGTGTGTGTGTGTGTGTGTGTCTGTGTGTGTGTGTCTGTGTGTGTGTGTGTGTCTGTGTGTGTGTGTGTGTCTGTGTGTGTGTGTATGTGTCTGTCTGTGTGTGTGTGTGTGTGTGTGTGTGTATGTGTGTGTGTGTCTGTGTGTGTCTGTGTGTGTGTGTGTATGTGTGTCTGTCTGTGTGTGTGTGTGTATGTGTGTCTGTCTGTCTGTGTGTGTGTGTGTGTGTGTGTGTGTGTGTATGTGTGTCTGTCTGTGTGTGTGTGTGTGTATGTGTGTCTGTCTGTGTGTGTGTGTCTGTGTGTGCGTGTGTGTATGTGTGTCTGTGTGTGTGTGTGTGTGTGTGTGTGTGTGTGTGTGTGTGTGTGTGTCTCTGACTCGTGCTGCGTTCCAGTTCCTGATGTTCAGTGATGGCGGTCTGGCCTTCATCTCCATGGAGACGGAGACGCCGACAGCGGAGGACATCCAGCTGCTGAAGAAGACGGTGGAGACGGAGGCGTCCCAGGTAGATGCACCTGTTGACCTGAGCTATGCTAGCTATGCTAGCTAGCGGTGGCTAACCAGTTCTCAGTGTGCCCTGCAGGGGGCGAAGGAGCTGCAGAAGGACAAGGCGCTGATGCGCAGGAAGTCGGAGCTGCCGCAGGACGTTTACACCATCAGAGCTCTGGAGGCGCACCAGCGGGCCGAGGAGTTCCTCACAGCCAATCAGGAGGCGCTCTGACCCCCATAGGCCCTGCCCTCTCTGCGGCTCCGCCCCCTGGGGGCCGAACCCAGTAGGACTCTAGAAGCTCCGCCCGTCTGTCCATGTGCCATGTCTCAGCGCTCCACTGTGATTGGACATCAGCCACAAGCCACGCCCACATCTCACCTGAGGCTGCCGCGGTTCACACAGCCACCGAGCGCCTTAACGCATCGTCGGAGTCGTCAGCGGGAACGGAGGCGCGTCCTGATTGGCTGCTCTGGGCCCCGCCCTGTTGTGTGTTGCCATGATAACTGTGGGGCCTTCAGGCTCCTGTTGCATGGATGAAATGAATGTGCTCGTGACGTCTGACCTCAGTCAGCCAATCAGGTTTGGATCTGTAGAGGCAGTGAATCAGGGCTTAAACCCAAACACCAGGCCCGGTTCTGATGGTTCTAATGGTCCGGTCACCACAGGAAGTGCAGGTTCCTCCAGGTGTTTCCACATAAACTCTGATTGGTCAGAGGAAACAAGTCGTCTAATGAAGCAACTCTGAGGTGGGGGAGGGGCTTGTGATGTCATGGTGACCACGCCCCTGCAAAGGTCACGCCCACAGCTCGTCTTTTTTTTTTTCCTTCATTGCTCTCCCCATTGGCTGTGATAAGCTCCGCCCCCACCACCCCATGTCGTGACACCACCAGGCGGCGCTGTTCCAGATGTTTATTGAGCATCACACGGTGATTTGTACAGATGTTCATGTACAGCAGAAATAAAGCAGATCCCGCCCACATGTCTGACCACTTCCTGTTTCTACACACAACAGGAAACATGAGAGCAAAGAGACGGGAAGGAAGCTGGTCCAGACTAAACCACAGAAGAAGAAAGAGTCAGTAAACATTAGTTATCTGGGTCGGATCAGAATCAGGAGCGGCCCAGGCTTCAGCTGCTGGCGGTGCGTTCAGGGTCCTGTAGGGATGGCGGTGCGTTCAGGGAACGTGGTTCCGGCGCAGCATCCGCAGCCCGGCAGAACTGGCGCTCCTGCAGCGCGTTCTGGACCAGATCGCTCCACTGGGCGTCGGAGATCTGCTGCGCCCAGGGCGGCACGCCGAGCGAGGGGCAGCGCCACGCCCGCCATCGTCCTCTTCACCAGCTCCACATGGGCTGCACAGACAGGAAGTGATGTCAGATCACTGCTTAGTTTAGGGTCACACAGGAATGATGTTCTGCACGATCTTTAACCCAATCTGTTCCTTTAATGGTTCCTCATCCATAAGCAGGAAAGCAGAACCTGGACCGGGTTCTGACCCAGTTCCAGACAGCCGGACCTCTGGTACCTCTAAACAGGATCCTAAATCCGATCCGGTTCCTCCGATTTGATCCGTCTCACCTGGATCCATGGGGATGGACGCGCGGCTCCTCTGCGCCGCTGCGCCCTCCGGGTCCTCCTCCTCGTCGCTGTCTGGGGGCGGAGCTTCAGGTAGGTGCAGACCCATCACCTGCAGGGAACCGCAGGTGAGACGGTGCATTCAGCAGGTGGGAGAGCTGCGTAACTTGTTGCTGGGAGGATCTCACCTCTATCCTGTGCTGCAGCTCCTGCAGCTGCTCCGAGTGGGACGTGTCCCCCCTGTCCTCGTCCTCCGGCTCCCCGGGTCCGTCCGGGTCCTGGTTCAGAGGCTGGTAGTAGTATCCTCCGCCGCTCTCCTCCTCCTCCTCCTCTTCCTCTTCCTCCACCCCGTCCTGCCCCCCAGGCAGCACCGCCCCGTCCACCGGTCGCTCGTCCTCCCCCAGCTCGTCCTCTGAGCTCGGCAGCACTCGCTCTGGTCCCATCGCCGAGCGGCACACTTCCATCCACGGGACGCAGCCCTGCGGACAGACGGACAGCTGAGACGGACTGTCCCTCACAGGAATCCAGTGGGCCTACAGTCTGGGTCAGAACCAGTAGAACCCGGTGGTTCTGCTGGCTCTGACTCCTTCCTGGGCCCGCCGTCAGCTCCGGTTCCAGAACCAGCCGCCGTTACCTGATGAAGGTGGAGAACAGCAGAAGCTAACGGGTAGCAGCTGCCAGCTTTTTAGCTAGCTGGTTAGTAGCTGGTCAGTAGCTGGTTAGTATGGTAGCAATGAGATTACCGGACTCATTGCTACCAGCTTGTCTTCACCTGTCCTGACCTCTCTGGGTCTGCTTTACCTGGAGTAAGCTGTTAGCCTCTGCTGCTAGACACACCTGGTGATGCCCAAACACTTCCGGGTGCGTCACACGGAGTAACGGAAGTCCTTTCCAGAAGATTTTTTTTTTTTTTTTGGACAAACTTTATTGAACAAAAAAAAAACTGATGGCGTTTCCGATCAGACAACAACCAGAGTGAAGACATTATGTGAAGTAGATTGTAATAAATGAACTTAGCAGTAAAGTAATAAAAATAAGACCCGGACTTTGGTTCTGCTTTGCTTGGAGAGAGGCTAAAGGAAGCCACAGGGCGGCGCCAGAGAGCAACAAACCCGCCATATTCCCCTGAAGAACCGGAAGTTTCTGATCATCTTCAAGAAAATAAAACCTACATTGTAAAATTATAAATATGTCCTTCAAATGATTTCTTGAGAGCGATTTAATTTTAATGTTGAGAATTGTGGTTTTTGTGCAACTCAGTTGGAAACAACTAAACATTTGCTTTACGAATGTAAAGTATTAAACTTATGGATCAACTTCAGAACTTTGTGTCCTAAAACAATACATTTGCATTTAATTTCTTTCCCAAATATTTAGTTCAGTTTATGTATCAAAGACAGCAAAATATATCCAAATATGTTGCGTCAAAATGAACTTTCCTCTTTTTAAAAGATGCAGAATTAAAATGCAATTAAATTGTATGAAGAATTTCAATTAGCAGCCCCTCTTATTCATTTATGTCACTTATTATACTTTATTCTTTCACTAGTCTTGGTACTTTGTTCTAGGCGCTGTATCCTGTTAACAGCAGATTTCTTTTTATGTTCATATTGATGTGTTGTTTCAGATTGTTATTCTTGTTCATTCAATAAAATATTATAAAATAAAATAAAAACAGATTTAAACGTTTGGCTTCAGGTGGAATAAAGAACCAGAACCATAATGTTTTATTAGGGTCCACATGATGGTTCAGTACCTAATCTGGATACAGTACGACCAGACTGGGTCAAACAGAACCACCGCAGAACCTCCAGCTGTGGCAAAAATGATAAAAAACAGAATTTAGCATCGACAACCTTCTACTGAAGAGAAAAGAGTTTTATTCTCAGGAACTCAATTCCAATGGATTTTTCTCAGATTGTCCCAAAGCTTCTCATCTTTATCTCTTGGTTCTGCAGAACCGGTTCTGCTATGGGAGACCCATCCGTCTCCAGCAGAAAAGTCCAGAGAACTGCTCATGTTTCCTGATTGGCTCATCTGGGGGTCTGGAGGTCACGACCTGGCAGGAGTTTCAAAGTTCAACTTCTTTCCCAGGATGCTGCAGATATTAATGGATTTATTCAGTTTTCATTTTCTGGACCTGTAAACGGTTCTGCTCCTCTTACAGAACCAGAATTTACTCTTTGATCTTGTTCCCTGCTTTGGTTCTTGAGCAAAAACAAAGAGTGACGTCATCACGCTTGCCCAGACCCAGTTAGAGATGTTGGTTTCTACGGCGACAGAACTTGTAGAGATCGTGACCGGAAGCTACGTCACAGCTAATCGTCCAACGTTGAAGAGGAGTCACTCCGATGAAGATTATTCAGCTTCATCTTCATTGATCTGATGAACTTTTATTAAAACATGAATCATGTATATTCACGCGCTATCATTCACTTATTTCATAAAGCAAAATGTTCTGAAATGGCGGTTCAGCAGGTCACGATTTCTGTTCAGAGTGAGGCCTCCTGTCTGTCCACCTATCTGTGCTCCATAGTAAACCTGCTCACCTGCAGGATCCACCGGGTCGAACCGAACCGACAGCGCTGCTGCCTGGCTGCAGGAGCCCCAGGCCTCGCAATCAGAACCGGTTCTGATGCTCGCCTTCCCGTTGGACCCGAACCTGCTCTGGTTTGCGGCGGAACCGGCGAATGATGACATCAGCGCGTGACCGTGTGTCCGCTACGCGCGTGAGCTGATCGATCGCTTCTCAGGTTAATTGACTGATTGAGCGGAGAGCCAATCAGAGGGTCGATCAGCTGGTCCTGCTCTCTGATTGGCTCGCCACGATTCGGTTCGGGAGACGTTACTGAAATCCTGCAGGTTCTGATCAGATCCGTAGTGAAATGATGAACCACCGGACCAGAACCGGAGCCTGTCCGCCTCAGAACCTTCTGATCCCTGTTCTGGTTCTGGTTCCTCACAAGTTTGGTGCCGTTTGCTTCTGTTCCAGCTGACCCGATACCCAGAACCCGGTACCCAGAACCCGGTACCCAGAACCCTCCCAGCGCTCCCAGTCCGGATGCTGGCGGCCTCCATCCAGGTCAGCGGGGAGCCGCTGTCGGCGGTCGAGGTCCAGGATATCTGCGACCGGCTCCGGGAGGACGGAGTTCGGCTGCTGTCGGTCCGCGGCTGCCGCGTGTCGGACCGGGACTTCGGCCGGCTCTGCCGCGGCGTGGCGGCCTCGCGCTGCCTCGCGCAGCTCAACCTCAATCTGGGCGTGGTCTCGAGCATCGGCCGCGCGCGCCACCTGGCGGACGCCTTGGCGGCCAACCGCTCCCTGCAGACGCTGTTGTGAGTAGCCGCTTCCTGATTGGCCGGGCCGGGTCGGGCCGGCCTGGTTGGTCAGTGACGGCTTGTGCCGCCCCTCCCCCCCTGCAGCCTCCACGGCAGCCCGCTGCTGGACGCCGGCCTGGAGGCCCTGAACCCGGCGCTGGCCGCCCACCCGGCGCTGGTCTGCCTGGACCTGGGCGACTGCCTGCTGGGGGACGCGGCGCTGGCGCTGATCTGCGGGATGCTGCCGCCAGACGGAGCCAAATCAGGTAGGACTCAGGTTCCGGTTCCCCAGGGGCCTTGAACGCACCACGTCCTACAGCTGATGATGTCATGACGCACCTGCAGGCCAGGTGTCACGAGGTGATGCTGATTATTAAGAAGATTAATGACCAATCAGATTGCTACAGCCTGGGATTAACCAGTTATTGATCAATGATTTTAATAAATGATTAACCAGTAATCAGCATGTAACTAACCCGTTATTAAGCTGTTACTAAGCAGCTTGACCACCCAAATGTTATAACCAGCTAATAACTGGTTATAACCAGTTATTAACCCGAACTTGCTAACCGGCGTCCGGTGAGCTCTAAAAGTTTGAGAATAGGTTGAGATCGTTTCGGCCCCAAGACCTCTAATCATTCGCTTTACCAGATAAACCTGCTTGTGAGGCTGAGCGCCAGCTATCCTGAGGGAGGGAACCAGCTATTAACTGGTTATAACCAGCTATTAACTGGTTATAACCAGCTATTAACTGGTTATAACCAGCTATTAACTGGTTATAACCAGCTATTAACTGGTTATAACCAGTTAATAAAAAATAATTATATAAAATCTTGGTTCATCCACGTATGAACCAACCAGTTCCAAAGCAACTCGTCACTTACCAGAACCGGTCCGGTCCGGTCCGGTCCGGTCTGCCTCTCCAGGTCTCAGAGAGCTGACGCTGAGCGCCAACCCGCGGATCAGCACCAAGGCCTGGGCCCGGTTCTCGGTGGCGGTGGCTCACAGCTCCCAGCTCCGGGTCCTCAACCTGGACTACAACCCACTGGGTAAGGAACCGGAACCGGAGCCGGAGCCAGGTCTGGTTCTGATGGGTCCGGTTCTATCTGCAGGGGACCAGATTGCGTCCATGCTAGCTGTTGCCGTGGCGTCCAGTAGAACCCTGGAAGTTCTGGACCTGGAGGGAACCGGACTGACCCACCAGTCGGCGCAGGTTCTCACCATATTCTTCCTCCTCTTCCTCCTCTTCCTCAGCGGGCTGACAGCACATGTTCTGGTTCTGGTTCTGGTTCTGGTTCTGCAGGTGTTCCTGGACATGGTGGAGAACTACCCCACCTGCCTTCGGGTTCTGGTTCTGGCCGAAAACAAAGTGAGTCCAGAGCTGCAGCAGCAGATCAGCGACCTGCTGTCTGAAGGGGAGGAGGACGGCCGGGAGGCTCCGCCCCCTCCGCCAGGCCACGCCCCCAGCTGTGCCCTGCAGCCAATCAGAGAGAAGCCCCTCCCCTGGCTCCCCAACAGCAGTAAGGGCTGAAAGCGGTCTGGATGGAGCCGGTTTTGTTGGACTCGGACCAGAACCGGCGTCCTCTGTGTGGTGTTTACTTGTCCTCTGGATCCGTAGGAGTTTAGTGTTCTGTCTGGTGTTGATCGGATCCAGTTCTCCAGCATTTTGCTGTTTGAATATTCAATTTCTATTGATTATTGTTATTCTGTGGTTCTACTCAGGCCGGGTTCTGGTTCTGGATTCAGTCAGGCTCAAATTTGAATTAATAATGTGTTAAAAGTGATATTTAAATTCAGTCATTTAAATATATTTTAAATTGAATTCAGATGAAGAAGCTAATCTGAGCCTTGAAAGAGGTTCTGATGGTTCTGACCGTCATTCTGATCTCCAAACCCGGTTCAGTCCAGGTCTGATTCCCTGTCGGGCCGGACCCAGTTCAGACGGGTGGAACCAGAATCTGTCAGCTCCAGTTCTCCCTCTGGTTGATGGTTCTGTGGGTTTTTGGTACCGTTGACCCGGCTGAAAGGAACCGGACTGAACCTGGCGGTCTGAAGCCAGGAACCTGGTTCTAAAGTCTGAATGACCTTTGACCCCACAGACTCCGGTCCGCCCACGGTCATGCTGACGTCAGGAGTAGGTGAAAGCCTATTGGCTGAAAATGAAAGATGACCACGCCCTCTTCCTGCTAGATTGTCATCACTTCCTGACCTGAATGTTTGTCTGCTCCGACCTGATTGGTGGGCCTGGGAAGGGGGCGGGGCTTGTTGACAGGTGTTGCTTTGTTCTGCTGTGATGATGTCACAATAAAAACAGTTTACAGTTTGGTAAGGACGGCTCTGATTGGTTATTTCTGCTCACCAGAACCAGAACAGAGTGAAACAGATGTATTGAAGGCGGACCGGATCGGTTCTGGTTTGGTTCAGAGCAAAGTTCTGATGACTTGTGGACCGGTCCGAGAAAAGCTGATCTCATGTTATCGTTTTACAGCGATATTTAGCTTTGTAACTGAATATTTAGTTTGAAATATTGACATTAATAAATGAATAAAAAACATTGAGATGAACTCAAAGTACCGCTGTTAATGTTCGACACTCGGCGCCCCCTGCTGGACCCCCGGGGTCCGACGGGTCAAATAAAATCTGTACAAGAAGCAATAAATAAGATATATTACAGTATTTACAGAACATTTCGGTTTGCAGCCGGTTCTGGTTCAGACGGGGAGTTGGTCCAAACCCGGATCTAGGAACCAGAACTCCGTTCAACCTTCGACCCGACCCGACCCGACCCGACCCGACCCGACCCGACCCGACCCGACCCGACCCGACCCATCCAAGAAATGTTCCTGTTGGTCGTCATGGTAACGCCTTCCTGAGTATGAATTCTGATCCAGTCGGGTCCGGTTCCATGATGCAAACCATCTGATCAACGTCTGATGTCATAGTGCATGTGGATCTGTGACCTCTGACCTCTCTCTAAACGGCCTCTATGTTGAGTTTCTTTTTCGGTGGTTCTGTTGCATTCAGGACGCTGATCCGCTGCTCCGGCTGCTCGGCGGGTTCCTGGCTGCTGCGCCGCGATGGGGACGACCAGCAGGGGGCGTGGCCGCGGCGTTGGCAAGGGGCGTGGCCGCGGCGTTGGCAAGGGGCGTGGCCGCGGCGTTGGCAAGGGGCGTGGCCGCGGCGTTGGCAGGGGGCGTGGAGGACCAGAGCGGCGGTCAGCGCCACCGCGCCTACAGACACGCTGGTCAGAACCAACACAACGACAAGCTGCAGGTCCGACAGGCCGCCGGCGCCGCGCTCCTTCACCGTCACCTTTACCTTCCTGTTGTCATGGTGACCAGTGTCCCGGGCCCGCGTGGTCCAGACCGGGGGGCTCGGCCCGGCGTTGGCGGGGCTCGGCCCGGCGTTGGCGGGGCTCGGCCCGGCGTTGGCGGGGCTCGGCCCGGCGTTGGCGGGGCTCGGCCCGGCGTTGGCGGGCTCGGCCCGGCGTTGGCGGGGCTCGGCGGCGTTTCGCAGGTGGTTCCGGTGAATCCCGGCCGGCAGAGGCAGCGGAAGCCTCCGGCGCGGTCCAGGCAGCGGCCGCCGTTTCGGCAGGGCCGGCTGGCGCAGTCATCCACGTTGACCGTGCAGAACCGGCCTGAGAACCCGACCGGGCAGAGGCAGGAGAACCGGTTCACTCCATCCACACAGGTGGCGCCGCTGGCACACGGCCCCAGCAAGCAGTCGTCGATGTCGGTCTCACAGCGGGGCCCCGTGAATCCGGCGAGGCAGCGGCACAACAGCGCTGCCGCAAAGCCGTCGGCGTCCTCACACAGGCCGCCATTTTTACACGGGGACCTGGACCCAGAACCAGATGGGACTTAAAGTCCAGACCAAGAACTTTAAATGATTCTAGTGAACTACCATGAAGTATGTTGGATCATCAATAAGTCATATCACAACAGAGATGATACATGCTAACGTTAGCTTAGCCCTTCAACCCTCAGACTCTATGGACGTGTTGCTACCGATCACCTTGTCTGGAGACACGGCCCCTTCCTCTTCCGGCAGGTCGGACCATGAAAACCGTCTGGACACAAGCAGCGGAAGTCCCCGCTGTCCTCCAGCAGACAGGTGGCGCCGTTGAGGCAGGGCTGCTGGGAGCACACGCTGAGGTCTGACAGGAAACACACACAACAGGCAGCGGCGTCAAGAAACGCCAGGACCGACGGCTTTCCGACGGGTCAGTTAGCCGCAGAGACCTTTGTCGCAGAATCGGCCGCCCCAGCCCGGCTGACACGCGCACTGCCACGGCTGCAGGCAGGAGCCGTGGACGCAACCCGGCATCGTCACGCAGCGCTGGCACAGCGCGCCGTCCCAGCCTGGATCACACCTGGAAACACGCAGCAGATTTCAAGGAGAGATGGAGAAATTAAGGTCAACGTTCCTGTGGCTTCTGCACCGAAGCCGTAAAACAACATGATGAGTTTCTCTGATGCTGAGACATTAGTCCTGGAATGTCCTGGAATGTCCTGGATCCTGGAAATGTTTTTCAGCTGATTGAAGGTCTGCTCTGGAAGTGTCTTTATGTTGCTCTGAAGGTTCAGGTCAGAGGTCAGCCTGGTCTGGAGTTTCCAGCTGGAAGAACTGAGCTAAACTGTGAACCTTTCAAAATAAAAGCTGTTGGTTAACCTCAGTGAAGCGTTTGGTCTACAGGCTGCAGCCACACTGAGGGAGGATCTGACCAGGCTCTGCGGCGCTCAGCAGGTCGGTGTCCGTGGAAACGGGATTTAACCTTTGACCTGCTGGTTCTGATGACGTCTTACCTGCAGACTCCGAACTCATCACAGCGGCTGTTGGTAGCGTTGCAGCTGCAGTCGCTTCCTGTGGAGAGAACAGCACCGATCAGAGGAAATGGTCGGAAAATGGGAAGTAGATAAATCCTATCAGAATAAAGTGTCTGCTGGGAACCCAGTTCTGATCCGGGATGGTTCCAGTTCCAGGGTTAGCAGAACCTGACATATTAAAGTTCTACAGCTGATCAGTGACTGGAATCTGAAACTGGGAAACAGCTGGAAGTTCACAGGAAACCACCAGGTAGCTTCCTAGACCTTTTCACAATAAAGGTCCAGAAAATCCTTCCCTGCAACATCTCAGCTCCGCAGCAAGGAAGTCACTGCATGTAACTTAGGAATTATAAAGTCATTCCTGAAGTTGTGAATCCGTTTCCATCCCGTTTAGAAGCTTCCAGCTGCCAGTCGGTAATGTGACCCAAAACTGCCGGATCAGAACCTCCAGTCAGAAACTTTTTCTATTCATCCAGGAAGTTTGTTCCTCAAGAGGAAAAATCTGGTTCTGCATTTTATTTTGAAAATTTATTGAGAATTCTTTCCTGTTGTCTCAGTAATTAAAGGAAAGGTGTTCCAGAACCACACCAGAACCGCTCTGGTTCTGAACAGCTTCCTGGTTCTGAAGAGCTTCCTGGTTCTGCTGCTGATCCGGTTCAGAACCGATTCTCCAGTAGAGGCTCAACAGAACCTTTAGAACCGGTTTTATCTCGGAGTGGTTGGACTCTGTCAGAGGTTGAAGACAGGTTTGCTCTGTGTTTTTACTGTGACCTCTGACCTCTGGCCTTGGAGTGCAGCTGCCGGCCAGATCGGGTTTCGGCCGGAATGGAACTGGATTGTTCCAAGGAACGTCTCGGTAATCCGACCCGATCAGTGCCACAACAACCGGCGAGCAAAGCAAGCCGTCCACCGCCCGCCACGCGACCTGTCGTCTGTCAGAGGTCAGAGGTCAAACTCCTGGCCTTAGAGCAGGAACTGGTTCAGGAAAACTGGTGAATCCAGAAACGGGAACACTGTGAGGATGAGCAGCTTTCCTTCTTCATTGTGGAGGAAGTCGGAGCCAGGAACTTACAGGAAGAAAACAATTTTTATGCCCATGAAAATCAGTTTGATAAGCAATAAAGGTGAATAAAACAGGAAGTTCAACGATTCCTGTTGGAACTAGAAAAGATAATTAATAATAAATGTGTTTTCTTTTGGTTTTAAGGTGAATTAATCAGTTTGGTTGTTGTTCCGATCATCGGTTCATCCCATTAAAGCCCAGACTTCCTGTTTGGAAGCCCAGACTTCCTGTTTGGAAGCCCAGACTTCCTGTTTGGAAGCCCAGACTTCCTCCAGGAGTCTGCAGATCACGTCTCCACCCCTGGACTGTCTCTGCCTTTGGGAACCTTCAGCAGAACCTCAGGAGTCCCTGGGTCATGTGACCTACCTTCACCTGCACAGGGGGATGGAGCAAAGAGCAGGAGGCGCACGCAGCTCAGCATCAGCAGGACGCCTGCACCTCGGATCGCCGACATGTTGGCTGCAGCAACAAGCCGTCCTACAGGAGGAGGACATGGTGAGACGGAGACCAGGTGAGTCCACCTGTCCTCATTTGAGGACAGGACCAACTACAGCATAGCTAGTTATTCCTGAAGTAAATGGGATGCAGCATTAGCATGCTATCTGTTTCTTTTAGCTCAGAAGTTGGTGCATGGATCTGGAAGCAATATTGGACATCTTAGATTTCATGTGTGTCATAAATAGTTTAAACAAGTTGGGCCTTCCAAACCAGAGTTCTGACTTTCAAACTAGAAGCTTGAGAATTTAGCCAGAAAATATCATGAGGATCCTGGTTACTCCTGGTTCAGCGGGGCCCCGATACCGACTGCAGATATTAGACCCCAGACATAATCTGGTCTCTCTGAGGTCATCTTTCTGTCCTACAGTGACCCTGAGCTCTGGAGATTTTTCCGGACATGTCTGCAAGTTTGAGGTGTCGGTGCAATTCTTGTGAAGTTGAGCCGCCACTGAGAGTGAAACTTAAGCTGCCAGCGAGGGACAATCCTGCAGGACGCTGTGAGCTGGACTTCAGACGGACCGAGGGATGTGTCTTGGGTTCCAGTCCTGCATCCTGTGGTGCTTCACGTCAAACTTTTCCAAATGTCATAATCTTTCTTCTCCTTCCCCCAACAAGAGATAGAGGACAGGGCTGTCCAGCAACTCTACCCTCTTCCTCTGTCTCAACCTTTGGTCCAGCAGGAAGTGGATGTTTCCCCAGACCAGGACTCCTCCTGTCTTCAAAGGACATTGTCCTGAAGCTGCTAGGTGTGTCTCTGCTTCTACACACCAGGGACACATCTAACAGATGCAGGACAAGACTGGAGATGATCCAGGATGCTCCACTTCCTGATCAGGTCATGTGACCTACCTGTTCTTCTTCCTCCTCTTCTTCTTCCCGTTCTGTGTTTCCTCTAGTCTTGATGCCGTGGTGACGGAGGTCTGGATCCCTGTGCCCACACGGTCGACTGTCAGGCAGGAAAACAAGGAGCGGATCACTTTCCAAAGATTCCAGGGAAGAGCACGGCCTCTGCAGAGACAGGAAGGGACATGCCTGGATTACCGACAGCATTCGTGTGGCTTGCATACCACAGCGCACGCGCACACGCACACACACACACACACACACACAAACACACACACACACACACACACACACACCACACACACACACACACACACAAACACACACACACACACACAAACACACACACACACACACACACACACACACACACACACACACACACAGTGCCTTTCTTTCAGGGTGTTTGCTCAGGGGAGAGAAAAATGAGGGGAGTGTGTGCTGGAGAGAAAGCAACAGGTGGTTGGTTAGCAGGAGAGTGAGTCAGAGCAAACATTGCCCATCATCTCTCCACAAACTCACTCCTCTTCACTCTATATCACGCCTCTGACGAACACTCCTGCAGTAACAGCAGCACAAGCTAATCAGAGGGCAGAGAATCAGTCACATGACCAGGACTAAGGACATAAAATCTGGAGTGTCTAAACAAGTTCGTCCTTCAACAGAACTGTCCCCTTTCAGACTGAACAGTTCATGTTCAGAGTTCACCACTAGAAAAGCTGTTTCAGCTCCTCCATCATACTTGACCTTCTTGACTTTGGTCTGAACCACCAGGAAGTGGATGTACATCTCAGTCAGGGTTCTGGGCAGCTCTCCTCCCTCTCTGGTCTCCATCACATCCTCCAGAACTGTAGCAGTGATCCAGCAGAAGATGGGGATGTGGCACATGATGTGGAGGCTTCGTGATGTCTTCATGTGGGAGATGATCCTGCTGGCCTCTTTCTTCTCTCTGAATCTCTTCCTGAAGTACTCCTCCTTCTGAGGGTCAGTGAACCCTCTGACCTCTGTCACCATGTCAACACACTGAGCAGGGATCTGATTGGCTGCTGCAGGTCGTGTGGTTATCCAGAGGAGAGCAGAGGGAAGCAGTTTCCCCCTGATGAGGTTTGTCAGCAGAACATCCACTGAGCTGGACTCTGTAGCATCAGTCAGGATCTCCTTGTTGTGGAAGTCCAGTGGAAGTCGACTCTCATCCAAGCCATCAAAGATGAACAGAACCTGGAAGTACGGAGCTCTCTAAAGGAGATGGGGAAATATTTTCCTTTTGGGTTCCCTCGCAAAACTTTTGCGTTACCTCACAATAATGTACTAATCGGTTCATGCAACATAACTGAATACTGTAAGCCTTTCTCACAGTTCCCATTGTACTTTCTGCTATGAGGCTTTCATCAGGTTTTTCCATGTTTCTTAATATCTCGTGAAATATCTAAAGTTATATTTTTCTTTAGGATAGGAATGCACCACAAACCTATGATATAAATAGAAACTTTACATAAGTAGGAAAGGAAGAAAAATATACATCCAAACTATTTGAATTATTTCTGAGTTATCGCGAGGTAATTAGTCATCTGACAGTTTTGATTGTGTGTCTGCACTTGAAAAAGGGCCGTTTTCATCTCAGCCTTACACAAACAGACATAAACATGCAGTGAATACATTGATTTTCAAACCATTTTTTGCACCAAAGAATTAAGAGTAAACATGTTTTCACTGAGGTTCTTTATATATGTAAATATTTTACATTTTAAATTGACATTTTTGACTATATAAAATAAACCAGTAAATATTGCAGTAAGCATATTGCAAGGGAATGTAAAACTTATTGCGAGGTAACACAAAAGAAAAATTTTTTCACGTGTCCCTACAGGCACAATATGTAAGTGTTCAAAGCTGCAGATTTCTTTGGTTTCAGTAAAGAAGTGATGAACAAGTTCCACCAACCCAAACTCCTCTTTCAGCTCTCTCAAAGTGAATGGAAATATGAACTGGATGTTCTGGTGTGGGGCTCCACAGTGGCCCAGTTGGTAACACTGTTGCCTCACAGCAAGATGGTCCTGGGTTCGATTCCCAGCCTGGGGTCTTTCTGCATGGAGTTTGCATGTTCTTCCTGTACATGTGTGAGTTTTACCCGGGTACTCAAACTTTGTCCCATAGTCCAAAAAAAAAAAAAAAATTGGTTAATTGGACTGTAAAATTCTCCTTAGGTGTGAGTGCAGGGTTGTTTATCCTGTCTATCTCTGTGTTGCCCTGCTATGACCTGTCCAGGATGATGCCACTTCTCACCCGTTGACAGCTTGAAATAGGCACCAGCACTCTTAATGGGATAAGGGTGCGACAAAATGGATGGACGGATGTTCTGGTGGTCTTTGTCTTATCATGTGCTTACATCACATGGCATCCAACATGGTTAACTCAGAAAAGTGTGACCTTCATATGTCACAGTTAGAGCATTTTGTTGTTTTTGTAAGTGTGTCAGTTTAGCTGTTGCCTGGCCCCCCAAACATTCTCAAAAACTCAAGATATTGATCACTTTTACTCCCCCATTCTTTGCTTTCATACTGACCAAATATGAAGCTGGTAGCTCATAATCCATTGGAAGGCTTTGTAATTGTCAAAAATGGCAAAATAAATTTGCTCTTAGAGCCAAATTTTGCCGTCTAATATTAGGGTTTTTTTCCCGAGGTAGTTCAGGGGATCTACCTATGTACAGAATGTGAGACATATAGAACGTACGGTTTGGTGTATCTCATATTAAGGGGTGCTGTAGAGCGTCTTAGCCCTAACCCATTTTCAGTTCCATTAACAATATTTTAATATGTGGGGACAATTTTGGGTAAAGTTAAGTGATTTTTAAAATACATTTAGGTCCTCCAAAACCTCCAGATCGGGGAGTCCACCCTGAATATGAACTAATTCAGAAGGAAAGCTCCGCGGTGAACGAGTTCATGTTCAAAGTTAATGGAGACAGAACATCAGCCAAGTCACATCTGGCCTTTCACTTCCTCAGAAGGATCCTGGTATTAAGTTCTGGTACCAGGTCAAAGACCGTTGGTCTTGGTCCAAGTTATCAAGTCCTGGGTCCTAGGTTTCAGATCAAACGTTAAAGAAAGAGAACTGCATTAAAACATCTGTTGATGTCAATCTTTGTACTGAATCATGGATGCCAGGTTATGAACAGGATGTCTAGAAAACTATGAGTTTTATTGTGAAGTCACGAGTTTCCTGGCGGAGTTCCATACAGGACGTCTTTTTTTGTCAGGCAGCTGAAGCAAACCCTGAAGCTCGATTATTCATGTCGAGTTCTGGTTCTTCTGGTTCTGCCAGGTTTGAAGTGCCTAATATTTCAGTACCTGAAAGTTCTACAGTATGTAGCTAAACCACGGTCACACCCATCGTCTAGCGCCCTCTGTTGGTCCGGAGGTTCAACTCAGCTGATTATTTTTGGAGCTACTTCGCAGCGTCAGGACTAATGAAGGTGTTTTCATCTTGTTGATGTGCTTCTCAGGAACCTACGGGTGTTTTCTACTGGCTGCTGTCCAATGACGCAGAAGAGAGCGGGTCATGATGCTCAAGTACGACCAATCAGAGAGCTGAGCTGAACTCTCCTCACCCACTTCTTCCTCACCTGAGCTGCGATCACAACCTCAGCTCTTAAAAACACGTCCCGGCAAGACCACCAGCCTCTGGCAAGGGGGAGCTTTCCAAGTCCAGAACCAGCTGCAGATCCAGAACCAGATCCAGAACTACAACCAGGACCAGAACCAAAGCAAGGGGGCCAGGTCCATAACCAGCTCCAGATCCAGAACCGGGACCAGAGTCAAAACCAGGACCAGAATCAGAACCTGGACCAGAACCAAATCCAGATCCCGGACCAGAACCTGGACCAGAACCAGATCCAGAACCTGGACCAGAACCATAACTGTAGCAGAGAAATCTCTTCTTACCTTGAGCTAAATTTCCCCTTCCTGCTGGTGTGAAAACCTCCTGGATCTGCCACCGCCAGCCAGATTGTTTGCTCCCTGTTTAATGCACATGAACACACACTCTGACACACACACATGAACACACTCTGACACACACACATGAACACGCACTCTGACACACACAGAGAAACTGACACATGTTGCTCCTCAGGGTGTCTGTTTTAATCTGAAGCGAACGACGAGGAGACGACGCTCGCCCAGTAAACACTCCCCCTCTGCTGGGTGCGACCCGACACACACACATTGACACACACACATTTGCGTGGCTATCTTTGTGGGGACTTTCCATTGACTTCCATTCATTTCTACAGCCTAACCCACACTCTAACCCTATCCCTAACCAAAACTCAATACACACCTCAGTCCTAAATCTGACCCACGACCCAAAATCAGCCTTTCCCCTTGTAGGGATCAGGCTTTTGTCCTCACAAGGAACAGCAGGTCCCCACAACGTAGTGTCAGGCAAATGGTCCCACAAGGTATTAGAAACAAACAGAGAAACACTCTCTCTCAAAGGACGTGTGTGTGGGCGGAGCCAGGTTCCTAGAGTGTGTGTTGTTAGACCAGATGTTGCGCCTCAGGTGAGATCAGGTGTTGATTGGATGCAGAGACAGACGGCGATTTCTCCAACATCAGACTTGCTGCTGGTACCAGAACCAGCCCGGTTCTGTTCCCGCTGCAATGAGGACTCGTCCTGACAGACAACCTGCTAGAGAACCAGTACCAGAAGAGAACCTCTGCTTACTGATATATTTATATTCTTTTGCTCATTTTGCTCAGAGACTTCCCAATAATGGACACATTGATTTCTCAATATGCGTTCTTGTCTGTACTTGTCTTCTCACGTCCTTGTGAAACATCATTGACAGCAGCCCAAGTACCGTTCTAATTATTAGTACGCATCAGGCAAGAATGCTCAAAGTACCCGGATGTGTTCTCGACGATGCATCGATGCATCGTCGTGAATACGCAGGCGCCTCATAGAGCGGGTCGGCCCATTGCTGCAATACGTCCCAGTGTTCGCCATATTGAATGTGGCCAATGTTCCAGTTTGCTAATACAAGTAAATGGACTGAACTTCAGAAAGTGCCATTCTACAAAGTATTTTAAGTTAATACCTGTCACTGACACATTCTCTCTCACACGCACTAATATATTTGGGAATCAAATAAATGACTAAAGACAGAGTTTCTAACTTTTGATGTGATTATTTAATTGTTTTAGGAAATTTCTGAAAAAAGAGTACAATGTTTTTATTTGATAGAAATGATTCTGATTATTTTTATAT